AGAAAAACACCCGCAGACCATTACATTGCCTCCACCATGCTTCACGGTCTTATGGCAGTAACATAAATTGAGGCATTTCCTGGCCCGTTGACGTACACGACAAATGCCATTGCTCCCAATGATGTTAAACTTCAATTCATCACTGAACAGGACAGTTCGCCATTTCTGCACATTTCAGTCAATATGAGATGTAGCAAACAGGAGTATTTTGTTCTGGTTCTTTAGTGAAATCAGCGGTTTCTTTGCAGGGCGTTGAGAAAACAATCCGGCTTCAACAGCACGTTGTCTGATTGTTTGGTCTGGTACAGGCAGCTCAAATTGCTTTTGTATCTTGACTGATGATATCTAGGGATCCTTCTTGACAATCGTAGAATCCTCTCTAGAAGTGGTGGAACGCGGTCTTCCACCTTTATTATCTGCTGCCAACATCCCCGTAGAACGATATTTGGAACATAGTCTTGATACGGTCCATTTTTTCATGCGATATTAATCACAAATTTTTTTTGTGACATTCCACTTACGTAATCGCCAATAATTTTCTTTCTTAGTTCCAATCCAAGACTGTCAGGAACCATTTTTGCACTTAAAGTCATAAAAATAATAAAAATGAATAATCATGCTTCTCAAATCTTAACGTGTTACATTTACCTTGTAATGATACAATAATGCTCTGTAGAACACAACGTCTGGATACTTCCTTTTATTTTTAAAAACTTTAGTGACATTAACACGGACCAGACTTAAGAAAATGAAGCAAACCAAAAAAGTTGCTCTTGTTTTGTCCGCTGCAAAATGGCACTTGTCAACGAAATTCTGCCTGTGTGCTGTCACCTGTCAGCTGATTGCTCATGTCATGGTATGGTTGATTATATGCAGCAGATTGATTTTATGTGTTACATCATGAAAGTACACCACTCAACTCCCAAGTTACATCATTGCAAAGTACACCACTTGGGTAGCAAGGTCAACATTCTTGCTGTAAACTAAGCCAAGTCATAACAATTTGAATCCATTCAAACAGCATAATAATCACTGTCAAACTATAAACAAATAACATTATATCACACACTTAGAAACGCTCATATATACAAAAGATATTCACACACTTACAAAATAAAAACCCATACTACCTTAACTCATATAAACACTTAATAAATAACACACAAATATATATAAATATATAAATTAAGAAAAATATATGAATTAGAAACTTTACAAATACGACCTTATTATTGTAATATTTGTTTAATGACATACCTCGTAATAAATGTTTCACAATTTGCAAAAACAAACGATCAAATGATCTGGTTTTTTATATAAAAGCAAGAGGATTTTTTTTTAACTTCTTTAAAATAAGGTATTAAACAATCTGATTCTTTGACATGTAAAATAGAGTTGGTTGTGTGAGATGCAAGGGTTTTGGAGAACACTAAATTTATCAAGAGTTTGACCTTTTAAAAGAGCAACGTTTTCGACAGTCATCATTGTCTTTTAATTTAAATATTACAGATTAATATACTTTAAATAAAATTGACAAAGGACTTGAATTGTGTTGTTATTATAACGCATGAATTAAATAAAATACCTGACTTTAAGTTACTTTACTAATTCAAAAATAGCATAAGATTCATCCTTTACTACAGAATTAACAAATAAAAATTGTCTTAATTACTAATTAAGCTGATGAAGCAAAGTTTTTGATCTAATTACTGATTAAGCAGATATTAACAGATTAATAATATTTGAGAGTACCTCATCACGTGAGTTTAAAAGTGCAAAGAAAAGAAACATGCTAAATCCTATATATAATAAATGGTAAAAAAGTCAGCGTAAACGCGCATGAATGGGCAGCGGCAGCAGCGTTAAGTTAAGTATTAATTATAAGCGATTAAAAAATAAATTTTTTTCTTTATTCTGATTGCAGCTTCAATACTTTTTGTGCAGGTTCTTTCTTAGAACGCGGAGTAGCTAGTTTTGTATAGTTATTTAAAAGTATATTAGATAAGATTCTACTACAAATTTTATTGTTGGAAGAGCATGATAAAAATAAATTTGATTGAATTAAAATATTCAGATACTAGTTTTCAACAAGCCATAACAAAAATATCTAGTTTCATAAATAAAATGTAACAAAAAAACACCCACTGACACAGAGTATCACTAGGAAGTTTTAAACCTCTCCTATTTATTTATTTCAAGTAATTGCCATTCACTTCTTAATAAATAAAAGTATCTTCAGTATTATCTATTTTGATTTTGTGAATCCAGCAATATAAACACCCCATTTTGCTGTCTTGTTCCATAGATTCCTCTAAATCATTCAGTATGTGAAAATTCTTCAGTTAGCTGTCATAGAGACAGAATTCCATCACAAGAATTATGTTCTGAGCAGTCATAAAAATCTGCATCAAATCTTATATAATCAAATATGAATTTTCTCTACAGCTTGCTGAGCAGAAATAAAGTAGACACGACCAGTACCCTGTCTTAATTTATTAAAGACTTTCTCTAAGAGATCAGTTGAAAAACCACCAAGCATAATGAATTGATGATTTTGACTATTTTCAAGTAAAAAGTTAAGTCTATTAAACTTCTTATTGTATCTGCTGTTGTCGAAGTTAAAGTTTTATTCTATTTTTACAATATTTACAACGTTTTTATAAGCTTGCTTTCTTGTGTGTGTGTGTTTTCCGATGACAATGCAATTTAAAATTATTTTCAAGCTTTGGCAGTCAATATTCTCTCAATGTCAAGAAAATCAAATTTTATATGCAGAAAAAATAAATAGCGACTTTAGCGAGTACTTAAAGAAAAAAACAGTTTTCTTTGTTAATTATTTTTATTGAATGAGTTCAATACTTTTGCAATTCTTTTGTTACGTAACTCTGCTGAATTCTTTTGTTATGTAACTCTAACTAATTATATAAAATAATTTGTAGTGGACAAAAAATATTTCAAATAATTCAGCACGCGTATTGAACTAAAATTTAGTAAACAAAAAAATAATAACTAGTATAAGTGTTAAAAACAAAAAATCTAAAAAGTAAAAAATAATCAATACAATAAAAAATGAATTTTTCTAAAAACATTGTTTTTCAAGCGTTTTTCTACTTTTTAGTTTTTCAAACTAAAAAGTAGAAAATAATTTTTCTTTGAGTTTGTCAGAATGTCTGATTATATTCCTCTTATAACGATGACAGATTTTAAAACAAATTTGAAACACGTAAAACGAAAAGCATTGGGCGCAAGTGGTGATTTGATAATATTATGACATTATGCAGTATAACATTTGATTTAATACTTTGTTTGTGTGAATATATTTAAGTGTATCTATTGTAGTTTAAATATAGTTGGCTATTTTAATGATCAGTGTAAATATATTGCACAGTGTAGATATATTGCATGATTAACGAAACCATTAAGTGTTGGTCTATCAACAATCTTTTATCTTATAACATGCGCCCAACATTTTTCGTTATACGTGTATCAAATTTGTTATAAAATAAGAGGAATATAATCAGACTCAAAAAAAATTATTTACTACTTTTTAGTTCGTTTAAAAAATGTTATTTTTAGAAAGAATTTACTTTTTGTTGTAGATTATTTGCACCAATATTTTTGCTCACTTCTGCTATTTTTGATAAATGTTGTAGACAATTATCTTTAGCACTTCAAATGACAGCTCACAAAGGATCTTGCAATCTTACATCATCAAACATTCTTTGTACATTTATAATTTTCCATGCATCAATAAAAATTTGCAGAAAAGCAACAGTACCTTGAACTTCATCCTGACACGTATTACTAGTTTCATATTATGCCTTTCTACAGGCTTTAGGGATATGGTAAACTCATTTAGATGAGATGTAATAAGCAAGTTTAACTCTAACAATCTCAGTTTCTCAAGATCTTTCCGATGAGCAACTAACTCCTCAGCTTCACCTAATTGAAGTTTAATCTTTTTTTTCTTTTTAGTAAGCCAATTGTTACGTATTTTCTTCCATAAATGGACATAACAAAAATATATTTGTTTTAGTTCTCCAAGGTTTATGAGGAATAAAAAAGAGTAAAAAAAAATGTCTATTTACTTGATTGTTATCGCAAATACGAGTTATAATATTCTACTAGATTGTTCAATAGATTCAATTACATCAGTAACAACACTGTATTGGAAATTATCATCCAAATTAGATACCGGTACCATACAAACAATAAATGTAGGTCCTGCAAATAAGCATTTAACCATTACAGCAAGGATTGTTCTGGCAAGCTTCTCTGGGTTATTCTGAGCATGACCATGGACTTTTCTGCCATGAAATATGACAGTAGCTTTAATGTATACTTCTTTGACCATTATAATGCATGAGCGCTGTCTGTCTTCCAAACTGTGAAATATTTTGGTATTAAAGATACAGTATCAAGTTTATTTGCTCTTGAAGTCGATTTTGTTAAAGATTGTGCACTAGGTAGCTGAAAATCATTTCTTAAATGCTTGCATAATGCTTGAGATAAAGCCATATACTTAAAGGCTTGAATAATAATATCTGGTGAATACAAAGGCTCTCCAACAATGGTACTTCTCATCACAAATAATTCTTCTTGTAAAACGCCTTTTTTTTAGTCATTTCAATATTGTTTAAAAAACAAACTGCTTCAGATAAAATAGAAAATTTGTATATTACTCTTATTCGTCTCTGTGAAAGTGAAAAAAACACTGAAAGTGAAAAACACTGAAAGTGTTTTCTGTAAACACAAAAAGTGTTAATAAAACACTGGGAACCCATATGAAATGCTCTATGTAAATCAGTATATGTTGAGTCGCTTTTAATTTGAAGAAAACTAATATATATATATATATATATATATATATATATATATATATATATATATATATATACATTTTTTTTATTTGCCTAAAATTAGTTTTTAAATAGTATTCAAATTATTCCGTTGTTAAGTAATTTGTTTTTTAATCTTAAATTGTTTATAATTTTTTTTAGCATGTTTCTAATCTCCGTAATTTATTGTATGACGTCCATGGACGACCTATGGATACAAATACTCAATCAAAAATGTATTGTACTTTTTTAAACAAATTTTAATAATGTTTTAAAAATCTGACTATAGCTCATATCATATCTGTTTGTTGTTTATTTTTGATGTAATTCATGGATACTAACAATCTTTTAAAAATGCTTTTGTTAAATTTTTAATTTCAGGTTGCCAAGGTCCATGATTGATATTGATTCTGAATATTTGCATGATGATTATTACGAAGATGTCTATATTTCTTCGGTTGTTAACCCTGGTTTATTTTATGTCCAAAAAGTTGAAAGTTTTGAACTGTGAGCTTTTTTTTTAATGCATACTTATGTACACATGTACTGTTGGTGTGAATTTTTTAGATTATTGCATTATATCATATATTTATCATGCTTAAGTATTAAGTGTAAAATTATTATTAAACATAAAAGTTTTTCAAATTTATGAAATGAAATAGAAAGAAAAATATAAATTTTTTAGCATTAAAAAGCTTGATAATAAAATACAAGCAACTATGGCAGTAAAAAAATTAGAACCAAACAAAGAAGTGTTGCCTATTGGATATATTTGTGCAGCTCAATATAGTTCAGATAAAAAGTATAATATTTTCTTTTTTTAATTTATCATGGTTTTTATTACAGTTTATTATCAGCTTTGCATAGTTTAAAAACTTTTTTTTCTTTTATTCCAGATGGTATCGTGGAAAAGTGTGCGGTGTAAATACAGAAAATAATGAATATGATATTTTTTTTGTTGATCATGGCGATAGAGAGTGGTTAAGTAGAGAAAAAATTGCTTTGGCTTGGGATGATTTATTAAATGTATTTTCAAAATTTTATCAACTTTTTTTTTACTTTATTTTTGATTTTTAAATACCATGTTATTTCTTTCAGCAACCATTTCATGCAATTGAGTGTACATGCTCAGGTGTTCTTCCAAATGGTAATTAACTGTAATGTATTTAAAATTATAACATATATGAATTAATAGTAGAAGTGGGTACGAGTAAAAAAAATAGTTATAAAAAAAAAATTGGAATTGAATTTGATTGTGAATATTTTTTTAACAATTAGACCTTATTTTTGTTTTAAAATCTAAAATCTTTGTTTAAGTAAATGCATATTGTTGTTTTTATTGTCAAGATGTTAGAAAAAAGCCTTTTTAATTATTTTATTATGTTTATAAAAAAAATGTAAAAATGTTTTTTTTTTTTATTAAATGATAGTCTTTCAAATATAATATTTCAACAATTAAAATATACTGAAGTTTTATATTTACAATAAAAAATAAGAATGACCAACAAACAAATTTAATTATTGTTGCTTCAGCAAAGTCAATATGAACACAAAAAAGTTTAATATAAATGAGCACTATGCTCTTTGTATTAAAGTTACAAGAAATTACTTACAGCATAATAAGTAGCAGTAGATACAACTGTCCCAAAAGCAAAGTTTAGAGATTTTGATATTTTTCTTGTAAAGTAAAATCTTTTCAAAAGAAATGCACATTTCAACACTGTATGTTACTGTGTTATAAATATTGCCTATATTACATGTTTGCTTTGAGAAACAGACTCCTTACAAGGAGAGTCTCCCTCCTTTACTTTAACTTCTTAACTCAGATTGTCTTCAATTCTCAGATTGCCATCTTTTTTTAGCTGATTATAAAAACATTTTCATGGAACTTTTATACTTTGAAATACTTATATATAATACTATACAAAAGTAAGAACTTTTAAAATGATTTTTTAGATTTTAAGAAAATCAAAGGGCATACATTTTTTGCTGCCACAAAAGCAGTCTTTCAGTGTTAATAAAATGCATCCACTATTGATACTCTATGGTTTTTCTGATCATTTAGTTGCATGTCAAATGAAATCTGATGATAACTTGCAACCTCTATTTAACTTAATTATATAATATTTTTTTTAAATTATAACAAAAAGTTTTGATGCAAAATAAAAAAACAGATTAACAAAATGACATATCCAAATGTTAATAATCAGTAAATAGCAAAAAATTTAAAATGTTTTTTTTTTAAAAAGTATTATAGCCATGCAAATGTTATTTAACCATTTATTGCATAAGAAATATATAAATATCAAGCCAAACAAAGTATTTTTATTTAGTATAATCTTCAATAAAATTTAAATATTATTTTATAGATGAAGGATGGACAGACCTTGATGGAGAAATTATGTGGGAAATTATTGTCAATCGTTTATTGAATGTTAAGGTTTTCTTTTAACCTTTAATATATATTTGATTTTTTACTATTTTCAAATCCGTATATAGTACTCAAATCACTTAAATATACAGAAACATTTATTCGATTGAAACCCATTATAATCAACTCAGTGCAATCCTTTAATTAAACTTTTTTTAAATAGTTTTATAAATTTTGTTTTCAGCTCATAGGTTTTTGTGTTTTAAATGTTTTTAAAGTTGTTTGTTTAAT